CTTACTTGTGGGACATCCAGGTGGAGCACAAATCACTTCCTGCCTCTGGATCCCTCGCCGGCTCCGTTCCCCGGCGAGGGCGGCACCCGGCAGGCCGCTGGGCGTGGACGCAGTCCTGTGGCCGCGTCCGGCCGGCGGGTGGAGCGTCCCAGCGGGTTGGACGGCGGGGCCCTCCGGGGTGTGGCCGCCCCGCGCCCCGCCCCGCGTCCCTCCTCCGCCGGCGGCTCCCGGGGCTGGTGGTCTCTCCGGCGCTCGGCTTCCTTCCGCAGCTCAGCTCAGCGCAACCGCCGCCCGGCCCCGCCAGCCTCCGGGTAAGGCGGTGGGGTCCCCTCGCCCGCTTGCGCGGCGCCGGCTCTGCCCAGGCTCAGGCGCCCCCGGCCTCCCGCAGCCCCCTCCCCCATTCCGGCCTCACGCAGACGTCCCCGGCCCCTCCCCAGCCCCCGCGCCGGGTGGGAACGGGGCCCCTGCAGCGTCGGCTCCGCAGCTTCGGGGCGCTGCGGAGGGGCGCCGGCCCTGGGCGGGGCGGATTGTCCGGGAAGCCACGTGTCCCCACGGCCGCTCGTGGTGGGGGAGGCGGGCCGGGCGGGCGCCCACGTGGCCTCGCTGGCGCGGGATCCCGGCCCTGACCGCGCCTCTCACCCCGCAGGACCATGGCCAATCTCGAGCGCACCTTCATCGCCATCAAGCCGGACGGCGTGCAGCGCGGCCTGGTGGGCGAGATCATCAAGCGCTTCGAGCAGAAGGGATTCCGCCTCGTGGCCATGAAGTTCCTTCGGGTAACGCGCCCCCGTCTCCCCTCCGGGTCCCCAGCCGGGTCGTGGGGTTTCCCCCACCCGCAGAGCCTGGTCCGCGTCCCCTTCCCGAGCCGCGGTCCGCATTGGCCATTTCCACGCCCGCGGGAGCCCCTTCGCCCTCTGCCCCGCCCAGGGCTGCGCCGGCCCGCCGACCCCTGCCTGAGGCTTGGGAGGACTGACGACCTTGGGAAGGTTAAGCGGAGGTAACGTGGCTCCTCCCGAGCTGGCTTCCTTCCCGCGGGCGCGTGTTGTCGCCGCCGCAAGGCAGGAGACCCCCTTTCCCTACCCACCCGGGTCTACATTTGCACAGAATGGAGGCTTGGAATCTTTTGTGCTTTACCCTGAAACTTCGAATTGATTGAGGTTTTAGGTGACGTGTCCCTTCCTTTTGCATAGGTTAATAACTATATTTTCCACATTAAATTTGGGGCACAGATCTGACTCCCTACACTTAGGGATAAGTGTGTGAAATTCAACCCAGCTTATCAGTGAAGAGAATGTTCTCAGTTATCATCTGAAATATTTAAAAGGGCATTGTGAGTAGGCCAGAGGAGTTTAATATGACCTCTACCTGGCATATTACCTGGCATATTTATTATACTTCAATTGCAGCTGGTATTTAACTCCCTAAATCTAGATTCTCAAACCACCTACTTCTTAGGATTACAAAATCCATAACATTGACATTATGAGGGTGTCTTTATGATTTGAACAATCTTTCTGCTAAAATGGTGTCAATTATATATTTTGGATTTCTTTTTTTAAATACATATATATGCCTTATGATTGTGGGCTAAAATATCTAACCTGACTTTTATTTATTTTTTATTTTTTTTATTTTATTTTTTGGGAAGGTCTCACTCTGTTGCCCAGGCTAGAGTGTGGTGGTGTCATCATAGCTCACTGCA